TTTATTACACAATATGACTTTTATAGGACTTTATTCGTTGAAAAGCTACAGGGTAGCCTACGATGTTCCATCATGTCCTTATTTAAACACTGTATGTACCTTTGATGATTTTTATTATATATATATGTATATATGTATATATATATATGTATATACATATACATATATATACATATACCGTATATATATATATGTATATATGTATATATATATATATATATGTGTATATATGTATGTATATATATTTATATATTGTAGGCCTAGTCGGCAAACAGAAAGGTTAGAAATCTAGGCCCAAGCCTAACAGGAAATAATATTTTCAGCTTGTTCTCGCGGGCCAAAGATGGCCCATGGGCTGCCAGGTGAGATCCGCTATAACATCATGACATCAAACACGTATGGTACATCTTTAACAAGAAAAGATTTTATTTGTAGTGTAGACTGTCCAAGTTGTCGGACCATGGGCATAAGCAAAGTAAGAAGTACCACCATAATTAATATGCACTCTCAAAATGCAGTAAGTGCTTCTATCATACGGACACCGCGACCTTTACGGTAGTGTAGAAAATTTGGATTGATTTTTACATACTGTAAATGAAAGCAAATGTGGGTTGCCAAGTTGAGCATAGCTCATTTGAACAGTATGTTCATATCTGTATGTTAACTGTCTGAATTTATTTGTGTTAGATTGAATAGGTGTCAGGAAGATATGAGAATGATGACGGATGATGTCGAGAAGGGTTTTACTTACCTGAGGGGTATAACTGAAGAGATAAAGTAATAATCATCCGGGAAGGTTGTGCTAACACTACCCTACCCTCTGGGCACTCACCAGGGAAGACTGAAAGGCCTTCCCATCAACAATGATGGCATAAGCAGATGAAGCTGTTATTGATTATGATGGCATAAGCAGAGATTAGTCTCATGTGAGAAGTTGTAAATGTTGAGACTGTAAGTTTTTTTTGAAGAAAAGTTTGTTGTGTTGAATTTATTTGATGTTTGGTTTATTGTAGTTTTCCTGTCAATGAAATATCATAGAATTAATTTGGTTTAAGCCATAAATGTTTTGTATGACATAATGTAAAACCTGGGTTTGTACATATGTACGCATATTGTGCATACTTTTGTACTTGATAGTAGACTTGCAAAAGCAAATTCCTTATGTGCCCCTCATACATATATCCATACATAAACATAATGCTTAATATTTATTACATAATGTTTAAATAATAAATGATCAGTGGGAGATCTAGGAATTAAAAATAGAGGGGGGTCCCCAGTGATTTACTTTTACAGATGGAGGGTCCTAGACCATGGCTGGGGCTTAGGTATGAATATTTATGGGTATGGCTGGAAATGGCTTTCTCTGACTTAAATGTGTATATAATTTGCTTGTTTATTTTTCTTCATTTTTAAAAAAGAATTTGG